ATTAGTTTCACAGCAAACAATAATACTGAAAATTTAAAAAAACCAAAAGAAAGAAAAGAAGGAAAAACAATAGGAACCCCCCCCCCCAAATTAATACAATGTTAAGATAACTAGCCAGTGCAGGAAAAGTAGGTAATCAAGCTGTAAAAAAAATGCAAATATACTTACAAACTTTAAGTCACAGGGATATATTAGACTCAGTAGTACATCTATTCTTCCCCAAAGTTCTCCACTAAGCTTTTAGACCATTTTTTTACTGTTAAGTTTTCCCACGACACGACACCGGGAATACTACAGTTGCTAAAGGATAAACCCCAGGGGAATCTTAACACCCCTCGAGCCTGAATGAAGAGTTGATGCCAGGGTTACATCATTCCTACCTCTGACATATAGATTGGCAGGGGCAGAATAGCGAGTACCCGCACTGTTGGTTGCAACACACTCATATTTGCCTTGGTCAGATTCTTCACTCAATTCGATTTGGAGGGCACCTGTACGGATATAAAATATATTCCCAAAGAGATTGTCAAAAGAAAGGTTTTTCAAACTCCTTACAATACACCGCTTAACAATAACGAAAAACCCTGTAAGCGAAGGTCCACTCAACGTCGGTTCATTTTCTCGCTAAGGTAACACAGACAAAAAAAATGATGTGATGAAAAAAACAAAGAGATTATTTTTTTCACACCATCAATACTAGAACAGGAAAACAATCTGCATTTGGCAAACAATTCTCTAGCATAATATCATTTCTCCTAGACTATTAAAATGAAGATGGGTGAGACTGCTTCAAGGAAGTATGGCTTTAAAATAAAACAAAGGAGATTAGGTTATTGGGTCATCACGTTTTGTTTTACTAAACTGTATTTTTTGTGTGTGTGCAGTAAAAGTAATACAAAAGGTGGAACTTGGCAAAAAAGGGCAAGATGGATTTCAAGAAAATCTTCTTCTGAAGAAGGCCAAAAATGTGCAGCAAGTACAAAAAAAGGCTGCTTGAAGTGAAAAAAGAAACAAATTAGTTATTTATAGTAATCAAAAGAAACAAAACTCCCTTAAAGACATGCAGATTTGTAAGAAAAAGAAACACATTCAGCTACAATTTACAATCTTTTAGTGCATTTGCTGAAAAACAAGAGGATTGAATTAGAAGGCACCAAAAAAAAAGAAAAAAAAAGTTTAAAAAGTAAACAAAGAAGAATCAACCAACCACTGCTGAGGACCTCGGGATGGCCCCCCAAGACACCCATCAAAATCCACGCCTGGGATTAGCAGTGTGGTGTCACAAAACCCAAGAAAAATACAAAACAAGAATTACAAAAGACATGGACAATGTTTACAAAATGATTAAAACCCAGCAATACCACATACCATCAAGAATACTCAATTATCAACATTTCAATTTTCAAAGCCTGAAGATCAGAAGGATCGAAAAATCCATTGAAGAGTCAATCCAAGAAAAAAAATAGGAAGAAGAATGTGTTTATATATAAATATATATTTGAAGTTAAAAGAAAAAAGTCTACTTGAACAAAAAGAAAAAAAGAAACCCTTTTTAAAGACAAAGTTAAAAAGAAGATATTCCATGTTGTCTTCTGCATGTCTGCAACTGTTCTCCAGACCATCTTGGCTTGGTCCAAAACAAGAACAGCTAAGGAAGAAAAAAAAATGATCTTTTTTTTTTTGCTCCAATTGGACCAAAAAAAAAAGAAGAAAGAAAGGAAAAAAAGTAGAAAAAGAAGAAAAAAGAAAAAGAGGGACAAATGATACGCTGTGACTGGGTTGTGGCCTTAAGACCTGGATATGCTTTCTTTGAAGCATATCACAAAATAACAAACCTTTTTTTCAAAAAGAAAAAATGAACAGAAAAAACACATTTTTAAATGGAAAGTGAAAAATATGTCGGGAACAGAAATCACAAGATGAAAGTCACTGACCATAACTAAATAGGACAAAAGGAAGAAATAAAGATGATGACTGAGTAGATAATGCATTTTTTTTTTTAAAGGACAATAATGAAAGGGATGGGAGGACAGAAAGAATAAGATCATTCTGTGAACGTTAGTTCAGCACTCTTACCTCTTATTGGTGTACCACCTGGGTAGATAATATGAATGCAAATAAGATTAGAAAGAAGAAGCATTAGTACGAGAAGAAGGAGGCTAGGGCTTTGGAAGAAGAATCAAATTAGAGTTACAGAATTAAATAAGGTCTTAAAGGAATCTTGAATTTTTATACTGTCAAAAGCAGGAATATACTTAGGCATAATAATTAGATTATAAGAAATAGTATACCAAAATGGGAAAGCCATCATCTTTGGAGGTGGGGGAGGGGTGACATGGGCAGGGCAGATCTTTCATTCATACAAAACTTAGACTTTGGGTTATTGAGGAATAAAATATCCTATATATGTCTGAAATCCTTAAAGAAAAATCTTTATAGTTCTACAGTTAATAATAACAGTTTAGGAAGAGAAACTGGGAAGAAAAAGAGGGAGAGATACTGGAGAAAGAGCAAGAGAGACAGA